ACCCACCAGCTGCTTCATGGAAGGAAGATGGGATGATCTAATTACATAAAGATTTACAGCCTCAGAAACCCAATGGGGGTTGCTATGAGTTGGAATTGACTCAATGACAGTGAGTTTGGTCTTGGTTTTTGGTGTTTTGAGATACTATGTTTTGGGGTGGTTTGTTTCACAGATAGATAATCAAAATGACAATAATGTAAAGAAAAACTATAGGAATTGTGTGTTAATGTCTCCAATTTAAAATATAAGTTTAGTAGCCAGACCAAGGGACTTTAATAGTCATCTTAATTGCTAGTTGCCTTCTCTTTGACTCTTTGTCTAACTCACAGACAATTTTTATTTCTTTTTAAATAATTTTCAGAGACTGCAGACAGAGCGGCATTGTAACGAAGGTATTTCAGGTAGACTATGAACCACCAAATACAGTCTCTTCCAAAGACAGTGTTGAAAATGTTCTCAAAGATTCTTCAAAGCAGGCAAGTAATAAAACTATAATATGTTCAGATAGTCATCACAGTATTGGTTCCCCTGCTTCTTTAGTGGTCACATCTTCCTTTTCTTTTCACCACTTCAGCTCACTGCTAAGTCTATACAATTGAAACCACTCTCAACCATTGCAAAGTATCTTCACTGATTCCCAACTCTTTGATCAGTTCCTCCCCTATCCGGCAAATTAGAGTTCCTAGCATTGCTGCTCATGCATCAGTATTTTCAATGGTTCACCCTTACTACTGAAGAGAGAAGAAACCTTCAGCCTAGCATTCCAACTAATATGTTTCTGTCTTCAGTTGGCCTTTCTTGCTTTGCCTGTAATTCCCCTACATATACTCCAGGCAAACTGAATCATTTATTCTGTGTTCTATCACTGGCCCCATAATACCCATGGGGTTGTATTTTATAAAATGATTTGAATTTTTGATTACTTTGATCCCTTTCTTTCCCAGGCACTGCAAACTCCAAGATGGCAGAAATAATGTCTGCCATATTCATTGCCTTGCACAAGGGGAAGGAATATTTAAGTGATACTTGTTTAATAGATGGCATCAGAGCTAGTAGAAGTCCTCAGTGGGTACAGACTTCTATTACATTGAAATATTCACTCCTGAATGGCTGCAAAGTCTAACCTCTTTGGAGAGTGAACCAGATCTATCTAAGGAGGATGCTTGAAACTTCAGTCCTTTGGTGTGGGCATCAGTGAGATAGACCCAAGGAGCAGGGCCAGGGGATGGGCTAGCCCATTGTAAGGCAACCAAACAAGAGATCTTAGTCATGAGGTTCTTGAGTGCAACAGAAGACATTTATCTGGGAGCCGCTTAAGCCCAAGGGTGGACCTGAGGCCAGAGAAGAGGCTGTGGGGCCAAAGCAGTGAGTACAAGCATAGTGTGGGGCTCAAAAATTATTCTGCGTTGGGAATAAAACTCACCCCCAGAGGCTGTCTCTCAGCCCAATAGTTAACAAGATGTACATGCAGACATGAAATGTGCAAAGACCTGGAGTCTGAAAACCAAAAGGGAAGAACACACTCAGCATTTCTCAAACTGAAAGAACTGAAGAAAAAATTTAAGCCTCGAGTTGCAATAGTGAGAGATTCTATGGGCAAAATATTGAATGATGCAGGAAA